TGCTTCTCACTCGACAAGGGCAATTCTGGAAAACCCAGGCACAGGTGGCAACTCTACCAAGACCAAGACCCGCCGTATAGCCTAAACATATTTTTTGGAGCAAGTGCTGTTAACGAGCACCTATGCAGGCCGGTACGTTACCCAAGGCGGTGGCTTGCCAGCACCTCGCCCGACCGCCTTTGTCTCCCCGGTGACGATGTTTACACAACGCACAAAGCATGGGTACTGTTTGAGGCCAAGTTAACCTAGGGGAAGCCCAGGACCGGTTCATATAATAGTCACTGGTGTTGGCCGTAGCGAGTGGGAATCGCCGGGCTTGTAGCCCAACACGCTAACCACTGCGCCACCGCTCCCCATGGTGACCCCACCATTACCAATACCCCCAATTCGCCACTAAGTGACGGTGATGTCACCACGGCGCCTGTGCCAGGCTAGGTGCACTTTGAGGCTGCCACGAGACGTGTCGAAGGCTCGCTGCTGACTGGAGGAGGTCTCGGGACAGACCCAGCTGGTGCCGTGGGTTGGCCGTCTTGAGACGACTGGCAGATGCACCACCAGCTGTACCCTCTACTGTGCCAACACACGTACAAACATTTATACACACAACAACAACAACCGCCATTCGCCACTAAGTGGCGGTGACGTCACCACGACGCTTCTGCCAGGCCATGTGCACCTTAAGGCCACGTGAAGTGTCGAACGCCCGCCGGTAGGTCACGGGGCAGACCCAGGTGCCACAGGTCGACTGACTGAGATGGCCGAGATGACTGGCTGATGCACCACCTGTGCCCCCTACTGTGCCAACTTGCATCTGGCAAATAGCCGCAACGATAATCCCACGACACCACCACCACCACACCACTCAATCGGGCCTCCTACTCACGGCACCAACCATCGCCCCCCCACCCCTACCAGCGGACTAACACCCACAGGGCCACTCTTGCACATGAGATTCTATCCCGGGCTCTGGAGTTATCTCTCAACAACAACAAACGCCATTCACCACTAAGTGGCGGTGACGTCACCACGACGCTTGTGCCAGGCCATGTGCACCTTGAGGCCACATGAAGTGTCGAACGCCCGCTGGCAGGTCACGGGGCAGACCCAGGTGCCACGGGTCGACTGACTGAGATGACTGGCTGATGCACCACCTGTGTCCCCCCCTACTGTGCCAACTTGCTGTGCTTTAGCCAGACTGTCACACAGACAGACACCTGGTTAAACAAAATCAACGTTTAACCGAAGCACGTCTCGGTTTATTGCCAAGAATTATGTCGAGACGAGGATTTGGGGAGGAGGAATTTCGTGCCCTAGGGGAGGGGGGAGGCAACAAACGTCACGGGAAGCCGCGCCTTGCACCGCTGAACTTTGAACCCCGGTGTCGAACTCGAGGGCTTAAGCCTTAAGGCGACCCACGGCATTCGGAAGGAAGCCAGCATTGGATGGACATTAAATTTACTTCACCACGAGTGAGGATGGGGGGGGGGGGGGGATGAAACTCCACCGGGGGGGGGGGGGGGGTACGTGATTTTATCTCCACCAGGAGGAGTTGATGTCCACCAAGGGAGACTTCGGGTCTGCTCCACCAGGCGGACCGAGGATGAACTTCACCACGGGACGTGATTTCACATTCACCGGGGGGGGGGGGGGGGCCAGAGGTCGCAACCGGGTACCCGATATCCATACCCTACCCGATACCCGGCTACCCGGCCGGGTACGGGTACCTGTTTGCGACCCTGGTGCAGCCGGGTACGGGTAGGCCGTGAGTCACTGGTGAGTAACTGTGTGTCACTCATTTCCCAACGTCTTGTCTCTCTCACAATTCAAGTTCCTAGAATCAACCCACCCGCGCCTGCAACGTGGCTTCATCCCAGAGGTCGCAATCAGATACCCGTACCCTACCCCTACCCGGCCGGGTACGGGTAGGGAACGGTTACCCGTACCCGGCCGGGTATGGGTACCCATTTGCGACCCTGGTGCGGCCGGGTACGGGTAAGGAATCAAAACCTGTTTGCGACCTCTGGCCAGGGGACATAACGTCAGCTCTACGAGGTGGACCCGAGTTCATCTCCACGAGAGGGACATGAGTCTGACCCAAATTCCAGAATCTGAATCTATATTCATGCTGGAGGAATCCGATTAGCAATACAGCTCTTTTTCATTTCGATTTAAAGCTTTCGTGACTGCAGGGATTCATCTTCTTGGTTCTTTCGGTAAAGTCACGTATAATGGAATAATAAAATAATAAAAATAAAACATTATAAAAGTATTTTATTATTTTTATAATAAATTATTTTATTATTTTTATAATAAAATTTATGTTTTATTTTTATTATTTTATTATTCCCATTCTACGTGACTTTACCGAAAGAACCAAGACGCTCTTTTTCACTAATGTCCAATGCTGAGTGAGACCCCCCCCACCCCCTCCTTCTCCTCCTCTTCCTCACCTTTGCCATCTTGATCATCTTCTTGGCGATCTCCAAGTCTCCCTGGTGGTTCTGACCGATCTCGGCGATGATGAAACACGGGTTCTCACCGCCGATCTTCCTGCCCGGGCACAACTCGAACTCCAGAGGCATCGCGACGAGCTGCGAGTATACGGAGGTGGAGAAGGAGAAGCGGTGAAGCAAGAACGCGGATGTAGCTGATCCCTAAGCAGATGATATCAGCGGAATAATCAGGAGCGGCCAGGAGATGGTATCAGCGGTATCAGCGGAATCAGCAGGATCAGCGGTAACAGCGGACATCAGCGGTAACAGCAGACACAATGTGAACAGCACAGAATTGGCAGGAACAGCAATTGACGTGAACAGGTGCAGCAGCAGCGGCAGTGGCAGCAGCAAAGCCCGGAAAAGGATGCACGGGAGGCACCGAGACACGTGGCGCTCACGACGCCTCCAGTGACGTCACGACGCCTCCAATGACGTTAATGACGTCACGACGCCTCCAATGACGTTAATGACGTCACGACGCCTCCAATGACGTTAATGACGTCACGACGCCCTCCAATGACGTTAATGACGTCACGACGCCGCCAATGACGTTAATGACGTCACGACGCCTCCAATGACGTTAATGACGTCACGACGCCTCCAATGACGTTAATGACGTCACGACGCCTCCAATGACGTTAATGACGTCACGACGCCTCCAATGACGTTAATGACGTCACGACGCCCGGGCATGCGCGTGCGTGACGTCACGACGCAGCCGCGCCCCAATGCGTTTTGCCGACGTCACGACGTATCGAATGGCGTATTCTTAAAGACGACAACAAATACGCTCCAGAAAGTAAGATGCCTTGAACTGTTGCTTAAGATAGTGTCGTGTTATTGGGGGGTGGGTGGGAAGGTGCGTCTTATAATCCGGTCGTTTGCCGGGGACGTCACGCGGCACATGGTTGATGCCCCACCCCCTATGACGCGGGGCGGCCATCTTACCTAGGGGGTCGGCCATTTTCCCTAGGGGGTCGGCCATCTTACCTAGGGGTCGGCCATATTCCCTAGGGGGTCGGCCATCTACGTAGGGGTCATGGAACCACATTGCACGTGGGGACATTGAATGGTCACTCACAATTTTGTTTTATTTAAAGTACCTATTATTATTTAAATATCACACGTGTACACCTCAGGTTAAAACAATGTGAATTACTTATCGAGAGGCGAGGGGGTGATTGAAGCTCATTGTACGAAAGCACGTGTTTTCGTTTTGGTGGGGTTGATTGTAAAAAGACGCTAACCAAAAAACACCCCCAAGGGCTACGAATGTCAAACTTGAGTGACGAGTTGACAAGCAGGCCATCGACAGATTTCTCACCAACGTTACAGTTAAAGGAAGCCAATGATGATAATGGCAAGGGGCACAAAAGGGGGGCGGTGGTGGTGGTGTGCCCAGGACCAAGTCCAGCCACATTCTCCCCGCAGTGATGTTTGCACACACCAGGCCACGCATTTGAAGCTGAAGCAACCTAGGTGGATAGTTCTAGATTTGAAGCTTTCGTGACTGCAAGGATTCATATTCTTAGGTTTGTTCGGTAAAGTCACGTAGGTACAAGTAAACCCGTAAAAACAAAGTTTTTCACTCTAAATCCTTTATATGCGTGGCGGCTAGAGTCCTCTCGTCCTCTGGCTTGAGATGGCTGCCACCTATGGGTCAGATGATTGTCTGCCAGTATTAAGCAATTGGTAATTAAATATTTAATTTGTTTTTTCCTAAACAGTGTAAAATTTTAGAAAAACATTTTCACGAACATTGTCTCGCACGAGTCTGTGTGCAAAATGTCAGCTCGATTGGATCACGGGAAGTGGGTTAAAAAACGACCGAAAGATTTGCATGGTCGTAAGCAAGCACGCAAGCAAGCAAGTGAACTTAATATAAAGGATTTAAAAAACCTAAGAATATAGGTGGATAGTATAGGTTCTGACACCACGTGGCAAGGTGGTAATCTGGAGTTGGGGTTTCCCGTTTCGTAGTGCGGTATAGAAACACCTGCACCACCATTACCCAACAAGATATTTTCAAGTTGTACCACGTAAGCGCCACGTGCTGGGAGCTCTAGGAATCGTGTTAATGGCGATTCTCGCAGCACGTGGAATTAAACATTGAACACATCGAACAGGATAAACAAGTCGGTGGTTTCCTACTCGGTGACTATTGAGATTTGTTTAACATCCCGAAGCTCAACTTCAAGGACAGTGCATATTATTATCATTATCAGAGTTGCTTCTTTTTGTTGCTTTTTTGACTACTTGTGTTGTGGTCATTGCAAACATGATGCCTTGAATAAAGGTGTCAGTTTTGTACCAGTTTTAAAAGGGTAAAAACCTACTACTATATCCCGAAGCTTGTTGACACTCCACGTTCCTATGGCCGGAAGGGTGAGAATCTCCCTCGGGTACAACCACTGTTCACTTTACAAAAGCAGTACTCATTTGGAAACTCAACGCGAATCAACACGCCACCTGAACTCGCACCCTTTCAATTGCGAGCAGCCGACTCTAGCGCCGAGATTCCCAGCCAAACAACACGTAGTTGAAGCCGAGCGGAAGATGCGGAGGAGCTGCACAGCACACACACACACAACAGCGAGGACACGTGCAGTCGAACACAGAATTTGTTAGAAATTTATTGACCGGTTGCGAGGGTGAAGCGCCGAGGTTTGACAGCGCCGTTCGTTTGTAATCGCCGCTCCCCCACCACGCCCCAGCTGCACTGACAATTCACACCTCCCATCACATCCCTCACTCCATCAACCTAACCGCCTCTTCCTCTACCCCAAAGCCCATGAGCGACACACATACACACTCCCCCCCTCCTCTCCCAGTCAGATCACACTGCACGGACTCCCAAACCCCCCAGAGAACCCGGACCAACTAAAATTTGTTTTCCAGAGGTGGTGGGAGGGGGGTACTCACAAACATTCAAATTTTAAAAATAAAAACACAAGACAGCAACGGCACTGGAAGATAAACGTGAACGCAAAATGCAGAAGCGGCGATATAAAAGTGGCCGTTCTCGGACTGAATTTCGATGGGACCATGGAGCAAGGGTATGCGCAAGTGGGCACTGGGGGGCCCGGTTTCCCAAACTCCCAACGCTTGCAAGTGACCACATTACACGGTACAGTGTGGGATTTATAATCGCGTCCGAAAGCGCCTGCATCTCTAGACACGCCGAGTAGAAACAGAGGGACGAGGGGAAATGTGGCATTTCGCCAGCCGTCGTCAAGAGAAACCGTCAAAGCTACAGACGGTCTTGAGCTCTGAACCATAACGATACCGCAGGGATCGATAGCACAGATGGCCTGGGAAAGGGACTTCCAAAATACGGTGGTAGCAGAAGATGACGTTTACACCAATGGTCTCCGTTCCAAGTGGAAACGAAGTCACAACGATGCTGCGCACCGATGATTGGCTCGTGCGTCGCACACGTGCGCGTGCTGGTTTAAAATCAATGTGTTGCGCGTAACTAGAGTGCGTGCGGCGAATGTGTCCAACGTCACACATTTTCACTCTGGAACAGGACACTCCACCTTGCCGGGAGGGACTTGTTCACCAAACATCAGGCGTGTGTCGCTTGTGGCGACTTAATCTGCATTGGAAGTGGTTGGTTGAACAAGGGGAGGCGCGTCATCGCGTGGCGTGAGGAATGTAGTCTGGGAAACCCTGTCCCCGAGTGGGTTGGTGGCGGGGGTCACAAGGGCACTTGTAGGGCTTAAAGGAGATAAGTCTAACCACTTTCCTAACGTACAAGGCCCTACGTCTCACCACTAAACTAACGGCACAAATGCAGTTCTCACCTGTTCATCAATGAACGTAATTGACAGGTGATTGCTTTTCTAAATCGGTGAACGATGAGTTAGGGGAATACAGGGGAAGGTAAAATGGGGGGGGGGGCAATGGTAGAATTAGGGGAAACAGGGGAGGGAAAACGAGGGATGAGTCAGGGAGAGTGAGGGGATAGGTTAAAGGGTACAATTCTGACAAGGGAAAACTGGGTACATGGCAGACAGGTAGCAACATACAGGGAGGGTGACTCGCGGTAGAGGGTTACGGGGACGTACAGGGAGGACCATGAGGGTACCGAGATGACTTGGGGATTCTGGGAGATTCAAGAGACAGGGGCAGGTTGGGGGAAGAGGGTAGTAGAAGTGATGGGAGCACAGGGTGAAACAAAGGAAGTGAATGGCCAGGAGTACCGGTAAGGTTCAAGGGGGATACAGAAATTCAAGGGGCTAAAGGCATGGGGGTTAGGGGGTACAGGGGTGGTTATGCGGGTACAGGGAGTTCATGGGTGACACAGAGGGTAATAATGGAAGGGAGAAGGAGGTACGGGGTCTGGGGAAGGTTGCGACCTCGGGTCACGGGGCTGCGGCTGTGGGTGAGGCCGCGCGGGGAGATGGGGAACGCGAGCGGCTGCCGGAAGCAGAGCGGTGCGCGTTTCCGTGGCGACTGAGATCGGGAGCCCTTGCGCAAAGCGGGGGAGGTGGAGCGTTTCCGTGACACCGGGGACGCCGATCGCTTACGTGGCAACGGGGAAGCGGACCGTTTCCTCGGCGACGGAGAAAGCGGACCGCTTCCTTGGCAACGGGGAAGCGGATCGCTTGCGCGGTGACGGGGAAGCCGATCGTTTCCGCGGTGACCGAGAAGGGGATCGTTTACGTGGCAAACGGGGAAGCGGATCGCTTTCCGCGGCAACGGGGAAGCCGAGCGTTTCCGTGGGGATGGGGAAACGGAGCGTTTCCGTGGAGACCGGGAAGCAGACCGTTTCCGTGGCGACGGGGGAGCCGACCGCTTACGCGGCGAGCGGGAAGCCGACCGCTTCCGCGGCGAGCGAGACCCGGAGCGTCTCCGCGGAGACCTAGAGCCCGAGCGTCTCCGTGGCGACCGAGACCCGGAGCGTCTCCGTGGCGAGCGAGATCCGGAGCGTCTCCGTGGCGAGGCGAGACCCTGAGCGTTCTCCGTGGCGACCGAGACCCGGAGCGTCTCCGGGGCGAACGGTGAGGGCGAGCGACGGCGGCTCCTGCTTCGCGAGCTGCAGAGGAATGGGAGAGAGGGGGGAAGAGTTTTAGACAACTCGGGTTTCCCCATTCTGTGTTGCTGTACATCGCCACACCACACCACCCACCCCCCCATGTTGCGAGTGTGGTTGTGCGAGCCTGTAATCGTGCAACAGACAGACGTCCATTACTCACCGGGAGCGGCTACGCGAGCCAGATCTGTAAAATACACACACACACAGACCAGCGCCATTAATCACCACGAGGCGTTCAACTATTCACACGCATGGTCATTCACAAGAAAATTAAACACAATCCATATCAATAACATCACAAGCTGAGAAAGGTGTTTGTTGTAACCTTCTGAACCTGCCCTTACTGGACATCTGTTAAAAAAAGTTTTATAGCTCATCAGATTCCTCCAGTATAAAAGATTCTGATTCTGCATCACACCACTGTTGGCGGAAGTGCCTCTAATGGAGGGAGTTCGAGACAGCCCTTCAAGAGAGCATTTGGCCTACTTTTCCAAGATATATAGACATGCCGTGTGTGTCTGCGTGATGTGTGGGAAGTGGTCGTGTAGCAATTAGTGCGTTGCTCCCGATCCTGGCAACCCGAGTTCGATTCCCGCTCGTGGTCAACACCAGGGATTATCCGAACCGGTCCTGGACCTTCCCTAGGTCGACTCAGCCTAAAATTAGTCCCTGGTGCGGTGTGTAAATATCACCAGACTAAGGCGGCCCCGGGTGTGGTGGGCCACCCCACCCCCTCGTGTGCCGTGCCAACCATCATAGGTGCTCGCTAACAGCACTTGCTATAACAGGCTATACAGGGGGCTGGTTATTGTCAAGTCTTTTTTTGTCTTTGTGTGGGCAGGCGTTCGTCACCTTGAGGCGCGCTGCCGCGTCAGGCGAATGCGGCGCCCGTACAGCTCCGAGTTGTCGAGCTTGTCAAGCGCGCGGCGCATGTCGGCGAGCGTGCGGAACTCGATGACGCCCTCGTGGCTCGCCCACGGTTAGTGTCCGCGTAGGTCACCCTCGCCCGCCTGCCGCATGTGGTCCTGCATACGCGCAATAACCGGGGGAGGGGACGGCACAGCGTCGTCATCATCATCATCACTATCAGGGGATAGCTCAATATTATTAACATTTTCAAAGAGTAAACAAGAAGAGGTTAATGAAGGTTGATATCAACATTGGTTTTGTGTTGGAAGTTAAGAGTCCGAATTGGATTTAGTGAAGGTGAGGACTGGAGAGTGTACTGGGTTTGTGTTGGGAGGATAGGGCTTGGAGTCTGTACTGGGTTTAGTGTTGGAGGATAGGGTTTGGTGTCTGTACTGGGTTTAGTGTTGGAGGTTAGGTGTTGCAGTCTGTATTGGGTTCAGTGTTAGAGGAGGTTAGGGTTGGAGTCTATACAGGGTTTAGCGTTGGGGGATAGGGTTGGAGTTTGTACTCGGTTAAGTATGGAAGTTAGGGTTGCAGTCTGTAATTGATTTAGTGTTAGAGGATAGGGTTGGGTTGGAGTCTGTATCGAGGTTAGTACAAGCGAATTGAGTAAAGGCAGTCCAACTGCAAGCAGGGTTACAGGGTAGCAGAAATGTTGGTGCTGGTTTAGGAAGGGGGAAAATTTTGTAACTTAGACAGGGGGGCCCTCATCATTACTTGCACCAGCAAGGTTCTTGCCAATCACGTTACGGGCAATGGTTGGACATCGCCACGTCACACCGCTCGTACCTTCAGGTCTTGCCAGCTGCAGCGGCTAGATAGATTCTCCACAACGAGACGTGTACTCGGTGCGTACATGGTGGCCCGAACCGGCGCCCATGCCTGGCAGCACATCGTTTACATCAACACAGCAGGGGACACGCACACACAGCGGGGACACACGCATACATTAATAACGACGACACGCTCATCATATATACAGTTTCACAAAGCACAATTACACATTCATCATACGCACCAATTACATACACATACAGCAGCACATAAAGCAAAACTACTGGCCACTCGTACACCAATTACAACGCATGAAACACACAAGACCACATCAACATACATACCACACACCATCACAATCACACACAACCACAAAATATCACACCATGCCCATACAAATTTATCACAAAATTACACACCTCAATCACACATACAGCACACACACCACAAATGCATGCAAATCACGCACACGCATCAGAAACACAATCACCTACACGTGCCATGCAGTTGAGTACACAACACATGCACGCCATACACAAATTGTGAATGCGTGTGCGCACACACACGTGTGATACCCTTTATAGCCTACATAGACTGTTGGGGCAAGGGCTGTCAGAAAAACTAAGCCCGACTGCTTTTTTTCCCCCAGCGCTAATGTGCACGCACTGCACTAGGTACTCATTGTAAAGTGGGAGTCCATCTAGGGGAGGCCCAGGACCGGTTTCAGATATCACTCGCCACCGACGTTAAGCTGTGGCCGGGAATCAAACTCAGGGTCACTGGGTTTGTAGCGCAGTGTACTAAGAACTGCGCCACCTCTCGCACGCACACACGCACGCAAACATACACACAAAACAGCAGCCACCATTCACCACTAAGTGACGGTAAGGTCACCACAGCGCTTGTGCCAGACTAGGTACACTGTGGCCACATGCAGCGTTTAAGGCTTGCTGTCATGGGACAGACAGGTGTTTATGGGTTACTGACTGAGATGCACCAACTGTGCGCACCCACTGTGCCACCCTCGCTGTGTTTAGCCGCCCCGCGCTCTGCTCGTTGGAGGGCGGCTACCTTCAACTGCCCAGTAGCGACCGTCAAGAGCCTCTCCACAGAGGACCGATCTTGACACCCACCGCCTGGTACCAGTCATCGACAGTCCAATCAGCTCCAAATCCTCCCGTACCACATCAGACCATCTCTTCTCTAGACCCATTGCCGTGCCTCGTTAGTCCCTCTATCCGGCCCACAGAAGCTGCTTGAGCAAGCGGTTCGAAGCCGCACTGGACCGGATCAAGACAGACAGTACATATGTGATACACAGTACAAATGAGATTAGACAAGTACGGATTTTTATTTTATCTTTGAATCGAATCACGACCCAAATCATTAACTTGAGCAAACAAAACTGTACAGAAACCAATACGACGTGGGTTAAATTACACAACAATAATCAAGCCACTGTGGTGGGTGGATTTGGGTTAATCGATAGTAGCGGGTGGATTATGGGTTGTTGGGCAGAGTGGCTGGGACGCGATTCAAGTCCCGCATTTTCTGTAAACGATGAGAAACCCCCATCACGACATTTGGTCCCTTAAACAACAAAACGGCCAAAGGTTCAGCTCTGCCCAGCTGGTGGTTTACACAAAGCGAAGGGCATTCATTGAACATACAAAGGCGGCGGTCACATGACATGCATGCAAGGCATAACCCAACTACTAACAATTTTAATTTTACCATAATACAAGTCATGCCTCTTGCTTTTCTTAAGTGTTGTTAAATCGACCGAGGGGAGTGACGGGGTGGGTGTACTTAGCATATCATTCGTGGGTAGGGGAGGGGAGGAGAGGGGGAATTACCTGGGCTGGAGTGTCGGGTGGTACCTGCAGAATCGCGAGGCGGCGGACCCCCCAGCGACCATCGCGAGAGGAGTCACGCGCGCGCTCGACGATCACGCGCATGCCCATCATGTCCTTCCCGTTGAGCTCATAGACGGCTTCATCCGCGTCGCGGGCATCCTCAAACTCCACAAAGCCAAAGCTACGCACATGCACACACACATGCACACGCACATGCACGCACACACACACACACGTGCGCGCACACGGCCATCACGCCGGCAGGGACAGACGCACGGGGGGGGGGGGGAGAGAGATAATGGAGAGATAATACAGATAGAAAAATTAGCGAGATAATCGGGGACGGTTTAGACGGATGAGGAGGAGACGACGCCAGTTACAATGGTGGAGGTGATATTAGAGAACCCGGGACCACCTTGATAGCTCGCTCGCAGACGTAAAAACATGGGCGTGGGTACATCGCCAGAGACGTAGAAGCAAACATGGAGGCAGATTTGTTATTTATTAAAATGTTGAACCGATTGCAAGGCTGTTCCTCCGCCCCTTATTCCCATCTTTCTTCAGGGCGATACGGCAAATGAAAGATGTGCGGGGAGATATAATGAAATATATTTTCGACAATCTCCATCTTCGCTTTCACTTTTCAATCTCTCCGTTATTATATAAGACCGATCCACAGCTCTCTGCACAGTCTGCTTTTGAAGTATTTGGTAACTATCGTTTTTTTCCCACGTGATAAGCAATTTCTTGTTGAGCCATCATTAGTGGCCTGGTCGCTGAGCTGCATCGCTCAGGGGGCCTTAACCTGGTCAAATATAAACTGTTCATAGTTTAGTTTGTTTCATCACCAATCTGTGCTCACTTAACCCGATTCCATCTCCAATCTCTCCCGCCTATTAACTAAATCTCTCACCGCCTATCTCTCCGTGTCATCTCTTCTTTTTACCGTCTCTCCGCATCTTTTGGTCGTTACATCGAATTCTCTACCTATATTTCACTAAATATCTTTCACACATTTCATGTCGTGTCGCCTTCATCTCCCTTCTATCACCTCAAACAACATTTTCCTCGACATACTCCCTCATCTCTCCCCACATATCTTACTCTCCCGATCTCTATCGTTTTTCTCATCTACACCATCCGCATCCTTAAATTATTCCCTATCTCGTCGTAATTTTCATTTCTCTCTCGTCGTCAATTTCTTATCTCCCTCTCAATAATCCGCACGTTTAATATTCGCTTAGCTCTCCATCCCTCTATCAACTAACACCGATTCCCTATTCCCCCTTTAACACACATCGATTGTTTGAATCGCGACTCGTGTAACCACGAGTGTAGCCAAGAGCCTTACTGTACAACATCTGCACCGTCGGAGCACGACCATGAAATATAAACTCAGCTCGTTGGGCCCTTGCGGCTAGAACAAATAAAATCCTGAAATCGAACCTTCTCTGCCCCTTGTACACATATCCCCACATGCATCTCCCCCAACCAGCTCTCCAATACACCTCGAACGATGAATCTCCATCTCTGTGTATCCACCTACCCTCCCACCACCACCACGTTTCTCGAGACATCTTCCTCCACGACTGTATTGCTTCAACAGTGTACATCTTATATTTATATATTTTTTTAATCTAACGTGACTTTACCGAAAAAATCTTATAGTGTACATCTCTCCCATTGTGTCGCTCCCTCCCCTCCCCTATCTTCCCCTCAACCACCAATAACACAATCTTAACTTTGGAGCTTTCGTGACTGCAGGAATTATTCTTTGGTTCTTTCGGTAAAGTCACAATAACACATCTATACCATCACCGATCCATCTCTATTAAAACATCTCTCTCGCTACCCCCCCCCCCCCCCCCCCACGTGCAACAGCTTCTTCCCCGTGTACCATCTTGATACAGCCGTCGTGCCGTGACGGCTCCACCTGAAGACGGAAGCGTGTGTTGCCTCCGAAACGTCGTGATTTTTATTTCATTTTTTTAACTTTTATTATTTTTTCAACTTTTATTATTTTTATTTTAACTTTTATTAATTTTAATTTTTTTAACTTTTATTATTTTTTTAACTTTTATTTTTTTACTTTTATTATTTTTTACTTTTATTAATTTAAATTTTTTACCTACGTGACTTTACCGAAAAAAACCTAAGAATATTATGGTGGGGGTTGTGGGGGGTTGTGCCCCCCCTCCCCCACAAGCCCCGCCCCCCTCGGGCCTACCCCTCCATTCCCGCGCCTCTTTCCCGCGCGCCTCGCGGCTTTCCCCTCCTCCCCTCTGGGCACCGTCACCACCACCACAACCACAACCCCCTCACACACCACCACCACCGCACAAAACCAACCGCCCCGTACCCATTCTTGACGGTGATGTCGACGAGACGACCGAAGCCCTTGAAGAATCGCTCCACGTCCCGCTCGCGCGCCTGGTAGCTCAGCTTGCCGATGTAAACTCGCGCCATGGCGGCGGCGGCGGCTGCAGCGCAACCGGAAAAGGAAGACTCCTGGCGGTGGAGGGGGGATGACGTCACTTCCGTCAGTAAATAAGGAGGGGGGGACGTCGGTGACGTCATAGCCGCTCGCGCTCTTATTCGTTGGCGGCGGGAAGGGGGGCGGGCCGTGACGTCATCCGCCGCTTGTGTCTTGTGGCGGCGAGATGACGTCGAGAAATGGGTGACGTCACTTCGCGGATGATTTCGTGGCGGCGGCGGCTGCAGCGCAACCGGAAAAGGAAGACTCCTGGCGGGGGGGGGTTGACGTCACTTCCGTCAGTAAATAAGGAGGGGGGGACGTCGGTGACGTCATAGCCGCTCGCGCTCTTATTCGTTGGCGGCGGGAAGGGGGCGGGCCATGACGTCATCCGCCGCTTGTGTCTTGTGGCGGCGAGATGACGTCGAGAAATGGGTGACGTCACTTCGCGGATGATTTCGTGGCGGCGGCTGCAGCAGCGCAACCGGAAAAGGAAGACTCCTGGCGGTGGGGGGGGGTTGACGTCACTTCCGTCAGTAAATAAGGGGGGGGACGTCGGTGACGTCATAGCCGCTCGCGCTCTTATTCGTTGGCGGCGGGAAGGGGGCGGGCCATGGCCGACGTCCGCCGCTTGTGTCTTGTGGCGGCGAGATGACGTCGAGAAATGGGTGACGTCACTTCGCGGATGATTTCGTGGCGGCGGCTGCAGCAGCGCAACCGGAAAAGGAAGACTCCTGGCGGTGGAGGGGGGGTTGACGTCACTTCCGTCAGTAAATAAGGAGGGGGGGACGTCGGTGACGTCATAGCCGCTCGCGCTCTTATTCGTTGGCGGCGGGAAGGGGGCGGGCCATGACGTCATCCGCCGCTTGTGTCTTGTGGCGGCGAGATGACGTCGAGAAATGGGTGACGTCACTTCGCGGATGATTTCGTGGCGGCGGCTGCAGCAGCGCGGCCGGAAAAGGAAGACTCCTGGCGGTGGAGAAGGGGATGACGTCACTTCCGTCAGTAAATAAGGAGGAGGGGGGACGTCGGTGACGTCATAGCCGCTCGCGCTCTCCGCGTGTATATTATTCGTTGGCGGCGGGAGGGGGGCGGGCCGTGACGTCATCCGCCGCTTGTGTCTTGTGGCGGCGAGATGACGTGAATGGGTGACGTCACTTCGCGGATGATTTCGTGACGTGCTGCTGCTGAGTGGCGAGGAAGGGCACTAGAGCTGTGACGTCACTGTAACTTTAGATTATCGTACAATGAGGTTTAACGACGCATATTTAGGCGATCTAACCCTCCAAAATAACTATATTATGATCCAGAATCATGTTATTCGCCACAGCTGTCTACCCGTACGGTTTTGCCCGTATTCTTGTACAGGAAAATTTAGTTTTCAGGTCCATCCGGCGTGCAGACGTTTCAATATGGGCACAAATCTGTGTTTGTGTCTATTTGTTTGTGTTTCTCTGCCCTGTGATGGGACTGTGTGGGATGAACGTTGAGGTTTATAAGGGGCACGGGGTGACCACTAAGGTCGGAATTGGTCTGTAATAAGGTCGCCACTGATAAGGGGTTGACAAGTATGGGTTTATCTTCTTGGTTCTTTCGGTAAAGTCACGTAGAAGGAAAATAAAATAAATAATAAAATGTTTTATAAATAATAAATATTTATATTATTTTATTTTCCTTCTACGTGACTTTACCGAAAGAACCAAGAAGATGAATCCCTGCAGTCACGAAAGCTTTAAATCGAAAAGTATGGGTTTATTTATGTACTGGAGGAATCCGACCAGCTATAAAGCTATTTTTTCACAGATGCACAGTACAGTCCCTCCAGAAAAACGCGGAGTTTTTTGGTAATTGTTGCGGGCAAAAATCCTTGATTATGCGGCACGTTTTCTTAAAAATGCGATGTAATATGCGGGATATTTATGCAATTTTATGCGATTAAATTGCGGAAACTTGCAAAAATTGCGGGAACTTGCAAAAACTGCGGTTTGATGAAAAAGAGAAAAAAAAAGTGATTCCCCAACACCCTATTCACTAGGCTACTACTTTAATGTAAAGAGTCATTTCTTATTACTTCCTATGATAAGCAAGCATACTACATCACAGAAAGTGCTGGGAATATTTAAGTTCTCATGTTTTATTTCAGACCTTAACAAACAGATGGCTCAAACTTACAAAACATTGAGTCGAACAAGTCTGTAGCTTACAAAATGAATATGCTACAACTTCTGTAAAAATGAATAAAAAAATATTAAAAAATAAAATGTGTGCTTCCTGTTTTACAGAGGTAGCTATACAAAACAGACATCTTCTGTAAAATAAGTGTTTTCAGGCACAGTAACGTAAGCAAAACAGTAACAGTACAGTCTTACAGTAATGTAAATTACATACTACTAACAAAAGTGCAATCTTAAACTGTAAAGTTGCATAAACTCCTGAATAAAACTAACTACGTAGCCTCTAACACTTCATAACGTTTCCATGGCAACAGGGGAAATGGCTGCGCTTGTGTGAAGTGAACGCAACATTTTTCAACTTTCTGCTAAGATATATGTGACTTTTTGCAACGAAATGCGGGGATTAT